CATGTTATTAAAACCAATATATTAACACCTTGGAGTTTGGGTATTGATTAAAAGAATATGAATTAAATGATATAATGCCCTAAACGGGGCACGAATTTCATCCTAACCTTTCAATTTAAGTATCACCAGAACTTAAATTTTTGAACTCGATCAAGTTATATAATTTAGACTGAATTTCGAGTTCAATTATTGGGCTCAATATTGAGTTAAAATGTGGGTCCAATTACTGGATTACAAAATTTGAACTAGCATTCGAGTTCAATTCGGATGAAACTTGTATAACCAGAGTGCAGGAAGTTTCGTCCCTGCATGCATGACAAAGTAGCCAGGGACGTACCCACTGCATTGCATGGGAGTAAGAGGAGGAGCAACTCTTCTCATTGGTTGATGCATCATGCAATCATTATCCTATAATTTCTTTCGAAAAACAAATGTGGCTTCAACTTTGCTCTACTTTTCATGAGAAAGTGAAAGAGGAGAAGAAAAAGCAGGTAAGAGACGGAAGAAACCGAGTAGATTTGATTTTGCATGAAACCAAACAAATACCCCCATGATAGGAAAGAGGTAATTAAACCCCGTCTAGGAAAGCTAAAAGCTTTTGTAGTTTTGATACTTTTTTGCATGAAAAGAGAATCCATCTGATTACCTGAACATTTTATCTTCCCAATCAGAAACATCATTGAATTAGGTGATATTTGACTAGTCCATGATAGGATGTACATTACAATGACATGTGATTTGGCACGTCGGACCTACAACAGACTAAAAGACTAGATCGACGTACTACTATTTAGCAATTCATTACTTGATACTAAACTGTATGTCTAGGGTGAAGATCTGATGAGATTATTTGTATATTGTGGGTCTGTATAAATCCAATTTTCATGTTTAATAAATTTATTGAGTGCATATTAGGACAATTCCAAATATGTTTCCTTTTGATGTGGGTTCTCGAGGATATATTCAAATTCGTGAATTATATCGGCTTACTTCTTCCCCTTATTCTAAATCACGTTCTCGTAACTTGTCCTCTTTGTCTATAAAGAATTTGCACATCAATTTACTCTCTGCTCACGAAGGATTCAATAGTCAAGCGCTTTTTTGAGTTGAGACATACAAATCACAAAAATGAACATTATTACTCTTACGAGAATCCAAATCATTACTGGTTTGAATCCATTGGCTTTATAAAAACCTATATATTAACAAGTTCTGGAATAATGCCCAGGATATAGATCGATATTACGATAATATACAATATATTACCTTTCAGAGTAGGTGAAGTTTTCAATTCGGTTCTGAAATAAATCATAAGTCCTTAAATTGTAATTACGTTTTCATTTTTATTTCTTTCCTTCCAGAACCTTCCAATAAACCACCTAATCAGGGACGGATCTACAAGTAAAGGTCTAGGGGCTGTTGCCCATAAATCCAAAAAGTGCCCCCCCCCCCCTAAATTCTTGAAAATTCGTATAGCAATCCTAATCGTTCTTATTTCTAGTAAGTTAGTGGACTTGCTCCCTTAATTTACGAAAACATATATTTTACCTTTGTGAAAAAGTGTAAAATGGCATAACTCATATCCTTCTATTATTTAATACACTAGTTTATCGATTAAAAATAATTATATAGTTTCTTCTAATTCTTTTTTGATAAGTTTTTTTTTTTGGGTAAGTTCTTTTTTTATAAGTTTGTGCCTCGTAACATAGTAACACAAATAACTCAATTTCTCAAATAGATTAAAAGAAAATTGCTCCATATTTCTTCATTAAATTTACCAATTATAAAATATTCTTAATATTTGTAACAACAACTTAATATATGATGGAGTAAAAAAGTTCTATGAAAAAAATTATTGTATTTATTTGTTCATATTTTGTTGATGTTGAATTTATATTGATTTTGATTTTCTTATAGTAGTTAAGTATTGGATCTTAGTATATTTCTTATATTTTAGTTTAGGAAATTTTCATATGAAAATAACACTAAATTCAATCCTCATTAATGAGGTCCAAGAAGATTTTTTATATCGATTCGCTATGTTTTACACTTATATTTTTGTCCTCACTAAGATGGAGTTTTGATATTCCCGTACCTAATATGAATTTGTGGGGACAATAATTCATAATCTGCAACAAATATTTTTAAAAAATAGAATATATATTCACGAAACTACAAAATAAAAAAAAAACCTCAAGAAAAATGTTTTAAAGCAACCTTCACTTAAATAAAATTTGAAAGTCTCCCTCTCAATTTTTTTTTAATAGGATATAATTTTTTTCTATATGGATATCCTAGCTAGTCATCTCATTGACCTAGGCTTAGAGTAGACCCTAGACGAATGGCATTTCTTCAAGAGGCCGAGGTGGGTGTTATTGGGATAGATAGAAAATTCAACTCAAACTCAACTCGTAAAACTCACAGTCCGAACTTGAATCCTTAAATCTGAGTATTGTCTAAACTTCAATCATTTTTTTGAAGTGCAACAGAATTTCATTCATCAGTGAAAAATAGCAATATCATCTTACAGGATGAACACCGTAAAATCTAGTGCTATATCTCGTCGTACAACACACTCAGAACACACACTAGCATATTTTGCTGAAGTATGTGCCGCTCGATTACTAGATGGCGCAGAAAATTTATTGATTCTATCTGCAAACCATGAATTTGGTTGTAAAATGTCTATTCTCTGACAGGTTATCATATCATAAATTGATCTCCTTAATAAGTCTTTTAGAATCACCTTGTAAAATCATCTTCCGGCAACCCAACTCAACCGCAAATTTAGCACCAATGAAAGTTGCCTAAGCTTCAACATGCAACGCATTCGCCTCAAAATTTGCTCCATCTACATTAACCTTAAGAATACAGGGGAAATCCATTGGTGAGTTTCAGCATTGTTACTTTGTTGTAATCCCAGCTGCCTCTTCACTTGAGCTGCTACAGACTGATCCAAAAAAGAGAGAAAAAAATCCACAATTTGCTTTAGGAAACTGACCTCCTGAGCTAGTCGCGCTTTGTTCCTATATATTATACCATAGGGACCAAGCTAACACTATCACCAGCTGCAGTTGATTTGAATGGAGGTTCTCTGCCAAAAGATCCAGCCACTCTTGAACTTGGGTGATTGGACCATTGAGGACATTAAGACTTGTGTCCTCCCAAAGTTGTTTAGTACATGAGCAATGAACTAAGAGATGTAATAAGGATTCATTAGGCCCTTCACATAGAAATTCTGAATTTTCTCCACATCTCAGCATTTGTTTTGTCTATCCATCAAGGAACATACCTGAACATTATCATTTAAATCATGGAGAGGACTTATAAGCTTAAATGACGTTGGTCGAGGGATTCATCTGTCAGATTTAATTCTAATGCTTTTCCTCATTACCCACTCTTCATCTTATCCTGGCTTCCATTACCCTTTTACCACCCATAATGCTCTGCCAAGTAAAAGATAAAGTATGTATTCGGAAAATACTTTGCTTTAAGAAATTGCGCTAACAAGGAAGTAGGAAAGTTGATCATCTTCCATGCTTGTTTGGAAAGAGGCACCGGATTAAAAGCCTCCGACTTCTAAAACCAAGTCCCCCTTTAGACTTCGATATGCACACCTTATCCCAAGAAATCCAATGGATTCTTCGATTTGACTCCATATTCCCCCAACTAAAATCTCTCCATCATATTATTTAGCTCATTACATAATGAACAAGGGATGAGAAAACAGAACACAGCATACTTAGGGATTGCTTGAACTACCACTTTAATTAAAACTTCTTTACCTGCCCATTATAACTCTTTACTTTGCCAACCCTCATTCTTTTAACAAACTCTTCTGACGAATTGATGCCAAAAAACTCCTGCTTTGATCTCCCTGTAATAACTAGAAGTCCCAAATACTTCTCATGACCAGATACCGACTGGATTTGGACTTTAATCATTTAGTTTAGTTTGAACTCAATGTTGAAATACAAGTTTAAAATTGTTATAATTTGAGTTCAGTTATCGGACACAGTTTTTTGTTTTAAAATTGAGTTCAGTATGCATTTAATTATTAGGTTACACAACATGAATTGTAATCAAAGTTTAGTGTTGCATTTCAAAATCCGTGACCCCCAAGTTATACCATTAGCTACATACCCCTTCAAGTTAACTTACGTGCGTAACTTAAGCAGATTGAGCAGTCAATTTTAAGTATATAATCCTCAACTTAATCCGACCTCAACTCGAATATTGCCCAAAGTTTAATTTGGATGGACTGGGGTTGAATTCGGGTTACGTGATTTGGATTAATTTCGGGTTATAATTCAAGTTGGATTCGAGTTATGTAATTCGAGTTGATTTCGAGTTATAATTTGGGTTGAGTTTGTTCAAGCCCGAAATCAACCTGTTGTTTTAAACTTTGTACATATTATATAGTATTCACTTAAAATAACAACTAACAACTAATAATTTCAATCAAATGTTTAATATAAAGACAATAGTATTTAAAACATAAAAATTAATATTTAACATAAAGATATAATAGACAAATGTTTAATATCAAAGTGAACCCTAGTGGTTTAACTTATAAGTTATATTATTATATTGATTTATATATTATTTTTAAATATGTTCATGTTAAGCTCAATTTAAAATTCGGGTCGAGCCCAATTTAGAATTCAGGTTGAGCCTGATTTAATATTCAAATTAAACTAACTTTAAAATTTAGGTTGAACACGATTTATACATTCGGGTTAAGTCCAATAACCCAATACCTCAACTCAGATACTGTCCGAATTCAATTCGGGTTTGTATTTTTTTATTCAAACTCCACACAAGTATTAAAATCTCAACCCAAATCTTATTTTTTATAGGTTAAATTCAGATTGACCCACCTAAATTAAACCCCTATTAACTACGGAAAAAAGCACCCACCAATCATCAATATATGCTCTTTCTTGACGCACCCACACTTGTATGCTATGGTGGGATTTTAAGTGGATGTGACTCATATTTGACACTATTATAAAAACAAATTGCTTGATAGCAGATAGAGACAAAAAAAAATTAAAAAAGCAACAAAATCAATTGTCCAATCAGAAGCACGAGAAATAGTTCACCACACTGTGTTATCATCAACTAAAGGTGGTGAATTCACCATGTCTGTGGGGATATCTAATTGGCTTTATGTATTCCTGGCATACAACATTGATGAAGGACCAAAAAATTACCTCAAGACATTGATTTACATTTCTTAAACTTGCTTCTAAACCAACAGAAAAAGAAAAACATTTGGAGGAAGAAAAACAATGGAATCCCTTTCCAAACTGATCATGTAGTATGTCACTGGGGTAGACGGGTCCTAGAGAAAATCTTTTGTCCAGGCGCAAGAATGGCCATCGGATCAAAACTGAGCTTTCTCTCCACGAATGTCGTCCACTGATTTCCAAAGTGTTGCTTCCATTCTTCCTCCGTGGTGTAGTGAGGGAGATATAGCTTGAAGTCGAAGCCATTTTCGATACAGCATTTTATTATCTCACCATTTTGAGCAACCAATTCCTTAGCCGGAGGCCGTTCTGGATGGGGAGGACTAAACCGGAGCAATGCCACTATGTAGAAGATATCATCATCCGGTAACACCACCGATGTACGATTATCCCACCTAATTTAAACCAAATTAATTTTAAATCGAGATTACAAACATATGTTGAATCAAAATTCAAGCAATGTGGTAGAAACACCCACATCCACATTAAATCGTGAAAATAAGTAGGATATTGTAGGCACAAAAATAGAATTATGGAAGGGCAATTTCGTAATTGAAAGAATGGTTTTGGTTTTGGAGAGCCAAAACAAACTATGGTGTCACAGTACGTGGGTTGGCCAACTAATATGCTTTGTCGTTGCTTTTATGGCTAGACCAACACTGAAAGCTACTTTACAAAACCTCACTATCCACGAAAAGATGGAACACTTTCAAAGACCAAATTGTCCCTCCCTCCCTCCCTGACTTTAATCCACTGCAGGTAATTTTTTCTTTTTATATCACTTCAGTGGAAAATTGATCTAGACGGTGAATTGACCAATGCAAACCCCAAGTTCATTTATCAAGAAGGAAACGCAAAACAAACTATATTCGTTACGTGATCAAAAAAATCATAAAAAAAAAAAAAGAAGGTCAAGTGATTCAAAAAGAGTGGGGTCCACTGTATCTTTCTCCCAAAGTACTCTCTTCAGGTTTCCTTCACTCTACACACATCAACACCAACCAAACAATCGCGACGCCGGTAAGGGCGGGGAGAGAGAGAGAGAAATGGTAGGAGTAGAGATGACCATAATCAGGATACATGATAATTTTAAACACTTTTATGAATTAAATACAAAGTGAAAACAAAAGTAAGAGGTTTGAATATGATTTTGACGAGTTTTTGTTAGTAATCGAGAGAACTAGTTAAACTCATCAGATAAATACCTTCAGACAATTTTTAAAAAATTGTAAAGTACAATTAAAATTCCACTAAATAAGATACTAATTATAAAAAAAAATTAATTTAAACACGAAGCGAAGACAAAAATGACTGCAGGTGTAAGGAAGGAGAAGTAATGAAGTACAACTCAGCACCCCAACAGTTAATTGCGGATCGCCAAATTGACGTACATCCGGATGAAGGAGGACGGAGGAAGGAAGCGTCAGCGTATCATTGGATGGGGTCCACACAAGCAAGTTAAGCTGGTAGGCAAAAGTATTTCATCAAATTGGGTCCCACTTGGCTGACCACCTAAGGGAAAAATATATGACCTAACTTGTAAATCTTAACCACCCAATTTAAGATGTTCAGCATGTAGCCAGCATATCATACAAAAAATGGTCCCGTGGAACCCAAATCACCCTCCATATATATTTTCTTTAATAACAAATCATAAAAATATATAATAATAAATTTTATTGTTAGAAAATTATAATAAAAAAGCACACTATCAAGGATAATATGGTACTGGTAGTTGAGATGGGACGTCCTCCGGTTACTAATTGGACATTTCAAGTTTCACTCAAATTTATTGGTTAGGTATATGATTTGTAAGTGATTTAATATGTGATATATATGGAGGACTTGAGAGTCCATCCGAGGCCTAGGCCCCAGTTGTACACTCCTCTACCTATACTGTAACACCAACCAAAAAAACGAATATATCTAAAGCGAAGAATGGCGGTTATTGAGCAACATGAGCAAGGACAATTGATTATAGAGTGGGTGATACAGATACTGATAATTATACTTACTTGCTACGGAGAAGAGGGTAGACCAACATGGGCCCACCAACCCCATGCTTCAAAATCTCCTTGAAAACCAGACGATCAAAACTGGCCATGTCTTTTTTCGACACGAACATGTTAAGCCACGGGTGTGGTGCATCCCATATGCCGCTGGCCTTTGCCTCTTGCTCCGCATGCTTCACACGCAGCAGAAACCCCATATAGCTCAGGTCCACCTGGAACCTCAGCTCCTCTATAAATCTCAACCGTCCAACTAATCTATCCACAGCCTACCAAAAAAAAAAAAACAAAAACTTATAAATAATCCACAACTTGGAGAAAATAATAAAATAAAATGAAATACAAAACACAAATTTTTACAACGTATTACATTATAATTAACCTGAAAAAATGTAATATTATCACAAATAATTTTCAGCATGATATTCTAAAATTCTGGCGACACTTGTGTCATTTATCAATTCATCGAGAGGCGATTTGTAGATTCGGGAAAATGATGGGCTTTTTTGGCAATTAGTGGGACTAGTGGGGGACCGAAAACGTCATGGAAATCTCCATGATCAGCAAGACGACAGCTGGGTGATACAACATTACTGTTTTAGCCATGACCCAATTTTGTCTTTTAGTAGGACGACATCATTGTGAAAGTACGGTGTCAATCTCGTAATTAAGACCTCAATATGTGGTCCCTTTCATACCTTGCTGTTGTCAGAAAATCCAAGGGAATAGACAATTTACGCCGTGTGGTCAGCCTCACGATAGTTACGGAATACTGTATCGTCGCTCCTGCCATGGTCATCGACGGACGGAAAAAAGAGAATATTCCGTCCGCCCACGTTGTTGTTCTTACACGTGTGAACCATTTTGACTTTTTTACTGTATTAGCACCGGAGTTTCGTGTGGGACCCAGAGTTCCGATTCATGGTCAACATGAGATTGAGGACCCCACTTAGCATTCAACTAGGTCAGAACTTTAGTCCCACCCTAGTCCTACTACCAAATCCGGCCAACCGATTCTACAAAATTTTTCTCTAATTTAATTATATTAATACACGTATAGATTTCGGGTGGATAACATCACAACATTTTTCTACATTAAAAAAAAATGATGCTACTCAATCTTAAAAATTTTGATTAGTAAGCAAGAGAAGCCAATCATAATTTATCAGTAAAATTGGGGTGAAGAAAAAACTAATCAACAAATTATTATGATTATTATTGTTATTGGGTAAGTACTAATCAACAATTTTTTGCCAAGGGGACAATTTTTTGCCAAGGCAAAAACCCAAGAAGCCAGACAAATAAGTGACGTAATGTGCAGTGTTAAAATGGGTAAATTTACCATGTCAACAGTTGATGGTTGGTCCACATTTCGGTAATGCAATGCCACTTCCAGGCAGTAGAGGACTGGTCCGGCGGAGCGAGGAATCCTGGTCGAGTCAAACGATTGGTCCGGGTCCAAAGGCACCGAAGGCCACCCATTGACGGGATCGTCACTGTTCACGAACACGAATCCTTCGACGTAGTCGAACGAGTCACCCTCCGACTGAGTCACCAGCGACTCAGCATCCTTTGCGAATTCATCAAACTCAGTATACACCATTCTTATCCATCTCACCTAGTCATCCACAAAAAACACCACACAATCAATTCTTAGCACGTTTCGTAATCTAAACTTTTGTTTTGATACAGAATTACGACCAATTCAGAACTAGACGCTTTAAAAAAAATCTTTTAAGAAGAAAATAAAAACCGAAAAAAGTTTAAAACAATGTTTCTAAAACATTAATCAAAATATATAAAATTATTTTGAAATCTAATATTCAATATTCAATTGGATTGGATTGGTTTTGATGAAAATGGAAATGTATCAATCTTCTAAGCAGAGAAAGAAAGGAAATTTTGATCCATGTTATGGGTAAGGAAATTTTACCATGTCCGGGGCTGGTTGAAGCATAACTCTAGCTCTGGTAATGATACCAAACTGACCAAGGCCACCAAGAACACTAAAGAAGAGTTCATAGTTTTGGGTCTCTGAACAAACCACTATATCACCTTTGCCAGTAACGACCTCCAACTCCGTCACGTTAGAAGTCTGTGGCCCATAACGGAAAGTCTGACCACTAACGCCGGCGTTACTCAATGTCCCACCCACCGTTAAATCAAGATAATCCGTCCACGACCTCGGCGCCAAATCGAACTCCAGAACGCAGCGTTTCAAAACTTCTTCCCATAATGCCCCTCCACCGACGTCCACGTACGTTGACCCGCCGTAAAACCCTTTCACTTCAATTATATTATCCGTCGATCTCATGTCCACGACAAGTCCTCGGTCGGCCATCGCTTGGCCGTTGATCGAGTGACCATTGCCTCTCGCGGCCACCGTTAGATTGGTTGACCGTGAGGCGAATTTGACCACTCGAGCTATGTCGTCGGCGTCGGCGGCTCTGACGACGGCCAGGGGTTTGTGAGATTGTATGCCGCCGAAGTCTTTGGCGGCGAAACCGGTGGACCCGTAATCGATACTTCCTTGGAGGTCTAGTCCTTTGCAGACACTTGCGTTGTCTTCGTTGTCGTTTTGTATTGATTCGGTGTCGTTTTCGTGAACCAATCGCTCTAGGTAGGCTATCATGGTCGCCGGCTAACTGGGTTCTCTCTCTCTCTCTAGAGTTTCGGTTCTCTGGAATTGGAAGCGTTAAGGTTTAGGCTTAAATAGCGGCGGATTTGGAACTATTAATGAAAATTAAATGATTCTTTTTTTTAGAATTTTTATTTGACGTCAGAATTGGCTTTCTAAATCTTTTTTTTTTTTGTTTTGAACAACTCCAAATCCTGTTGTTGTCGAAGAGATCCTACGGGCTATGGGGAAACTAAACGGTACCCAAAAAAAATCAGTATTAATGCTGTTGATTATTATTTTGTATGATAAAGATATAATTTTAAAAATAAAAATTATAATTTTTTAAAAGAAGTCACTTATGATCTATCATAACAAAGGTAATATTAATTTCAATATTTTATGATCGATCATGTCATTTAAAATTATAACTTACATCTTAAAAAAATTATAATTTAATTTTAAAAAATTATAATTTTTAATATCGGTATCACCAATAATACTGTAGAAGTTCCCTGGCTATGAGCATTCATTGTCCGCCATTTTCACATGTATAAATTAGCAGCTTCTATGATACACCACATTTTTAATCTCTATCTTCTTAATTTTATTGTCATTCTCACCACAACAACCATCCTCACCTTCATCTCTTATTGTCACCACCGTTGCTATTGTCACCCCGACTCCAACTTCAATTTTAACTCTAATATTCTTGGAATAAAGTAAGAATAATTACATAAATTATATGAAATGATTTAATTTTATAGAATTAATGCACTTTTAAATTGATTGATATATTATATAGTGTATATAGGTTTAAAAGAGATAAAATGAGTGTGTGAGAGAGAGAGAGACCGAAAGGGAGAGATGATTGGAAAAAAAAAAACTCTAATAGTTGAGAAAGAATTATCTTATTAATTAAGAATTAAGTTATTTAAAAATGATCCACAACGTAAAAATTAATTTAATTTAATAATTAAAAATTTAAAAAAAATTAAAAAAATTAGGATGAAAGTTTGGAGCTCATCTAAACCAACAACATTGCTATAATATTTTTGGAAGACAATGATACAATGAGCTATTGCCTATTGGTGATTGGGCTTTTAAATTAATTTTGAATTTTTTGGAGTAAATTTTTTTTTCATTGACTTAATTTCTGAAATTCGATCACACTACTCTTATCAAATATTTAAAATTAAAATTGTAACTCAAATGATGTGAAAGTTTTTCTATCGCTAACAAATAAAGGGCTCTCTATGGAACATCTCTGATCTTTACTCTTTTTTAAATTTAAATTTTAATTTAGGTAAAATATTTTTAAAAACATTTTATAATGTCAGATTCATATTCATATAAAATTAAAAGAGACTCATTTTTTTACCCAAATGAAAGGGAGATTTAAATCCATAACCAAATCTTTAATAGTGAAATTTTACCCTCTTTTAAAGATTCAATGGTTATATTTTACCTTATTTAAAAATTGATTTTAAATTTGAATTTCTCTTTCTTTGAATTTGAATTTCTCTTTATTAAATTTGAGTTTTCTCCATTTGAAATGTCTATACCAAATCAATTTTTTTTCCCTTTTTTTTAACACAAATTTGAGTAAGGGTGTAGGTTTCCATTGGAGATAGTTTAACAAATAAAAGGCTAAAAAATACTTGATTACCACATCATTTAAAATACTTATTTGATCCAAATTTTGATCAATTTTTTTTTACTTTTGTATTGTTTGCCATTTGTTGGAGTTATTATTTTGTGACTATGTCATTCTTAGCGACGGTGATCGTTAATAAGAAGTGTTAGAGATAATGATTAACCTTAGATAATGCTTACCACAAACTATATCATCAAAAAATTGCATAACATTATATAATTAGCAATTGCCTTGTAAATAGTTACAAATATTTGCACATATATAAATGTAAAGTAAAATATAACATTTTAGTAAACGATGAACAAAATGAATCCGTTAATATTTTTTATAACATCAACCTATATATATAACATATATTTTCACATTATATTGTTATACCACAGAAATTATGTTATTACTACTGAAACATAATAATTCAAATATTTGAAAAAATATATCAACTGACAATATTCAATGTTCTATTTTTGATTCAAAATTCACGATTTTAACATTCATAATTAACTTTATCTAAATAATAACATAATTCATAACTAATAAAATGAAAATTATAACAATACTCACACAAATAAATTAAATTTGCAGATGTTATCAAATGACCAAATATAACTATCATAAATTCAGTCGACTTCCAAAAGATACAACTTGATTATTGAATTTGTATGATTCAAGTTTATAGTAATACTTTTAATTTTATATCATTCTTCTCGGTTATTTATATTTTTAGTATATTTTCTTAAAAAAGATTGTTACTTCGTGTTGTTCACTAAATATTGAATTTGTATGATTAGTATTCATAGTATTGCTTATAATTTTGTATCGTTTCTCTTGTTTGTAGTTTTGTGTCATTTTTCTTTGGTATTTAGATTTGGATTATTTAGTAAATATTATTACTTTGTGTTTTTCACTAAATATTGAATTTGTATGATTCGTGTTTGTATATGAATTTAATCTTGTATATTTTAAATGTTAAACATATTTTCTTTAATATATTTTTTGATATTTGAGTTGTCTAATAACTTAAATTTAATTTTATATATTTTACATGTTAATCATATTTTATTTGTTAAATTAAATTTTGTGCAAGTTATGTTTTTTTTTATTGATTATGGAAAAAATAAAATTGACTATTGCGATTGAATTTATATGATTCGAGTTTATAGTAATGTTTTTAAATTTATATCATTTTTTTGAATTATTTATATTCTTAGTATATTTTCTTAAACTAAACGTTATTTAGTATTGGATTATTTAGTAAAGATTGTTGTTTCGTGTGTTCACTAAATATTGAATTTGTATGATTCGTGTTTATAGTATTGCTTATAATTTTGTATCGTTTATCTCGCTTGTAATTTTGTATTATTTCTCTCGATATTTAGATTTGAATTATTTAGTAAATATTGTTACTTTGTGTTGTTCACTAAATATTGAATTTATATATGATTCGTGTTTTTATATGAATTTAATCATATATATTTTAAATGTTAAGTATATTTTCTTTAATATATCTTTTAATATCTGAGTTAATCAATACATTGAATTTAATCTTATATATTTTACATGTTAAGCATATTTTATTTGTTAAATTAGATTTTTTGTAAGTTATGTTTTTTATTAAAAAAAACATAATTGACTATTGAATTTGTATGATTCGTGCTTGTAGTATTGCTTGAATGAAAGAGAGAGATACATAAGAATATTTTTGTGGTATAAACTATTTATCTAATATTTATTATATAATTTTTCTTCAAAGAGAGATACAGAGAAATATTTTCGTAATATATTATCTCTCTGTGATATATAGTATCTATCTATAGAGAGATGCAATATTTGCTTTAATCAGACACTATCTAATATTTTTGTGAGATACAAAGAAAAATATTGTAAAAAATTGATACTTTTTGCGTGAATTGACGTGAGAGAGAGAGAGAGATACAGATGAATGAGAGAGAGAAAGATTTGCTTGATTTAAGGAAAAGATTGAGGGAATTAAATTTTAGAATATCAATTTTGAAAATTATAAATTTTGAGCAGTAAAAATATTTTAAAAGAGTTAACGTGGTACGTCAGATTAAAACGATCTGAGATGTCAATAACTTGAGACAGTTTGAGATAACGTCGTTCGTTAGATGATACTTTTTTTTGGTCACGAAATAATTTAAACCACTCTTTGTCACCATAATTCAAATTCGTTCTACTTTATCATATAGATAGAATATAATCTGTTTTATACCTGTCCCCGTATATTTCTCTCCTATAAAAAGTGTGTCAATGTTCTCAACTAAGTACAATTCAATACACTATATCTTGAGTTTCTTCAAGAAGGTGATGGCCACTCACCATAATATATAGTTTCAAAAAGAATAACAAAAATGAAAAAAATTGGGCAAAAAAGACAGTACCATGTAAAAAGTTAACGTGTATGCAAATTGTAATTTTAATTAAAAACTTAGCTCGTAAATTTGATCTCCATGAGTATATTTATGACTAATTTTATAATAAGCGTGTTATTTAAATTTCATCCTTCGCAATAATAGCAATCTCTTAGATGTTATTATTAAAATCAGTATGTATAAAAAATAATAATTTCTTTAAAAGCATTATCATTCTCCAACAAGTGCATTGTTTTATGTCCCATTAAAGGGAATATGGCACCTCAGTCTGTCTCATTAAAGTAAAATCAGCTTTTTAAGAAATTGAATATCCTCCCGGAATTTTTTATGCGAACCATTTAACTACCTATGGCATAATTAGTCTCTTAAAACATCATTATTCTCCACAAATTCGTATTTCGCCCACACACACACACACACACACGTGTGTGTAGCAGCACATTGATGGAGAAACTTTAGAAAACTCTCCTTTCCTATGTCTAGATCTAGCTAGTTTGGGTTATGCTGGATCTAGCAGTTTCTAAACTAACCCACAGGCATCGACTTGAATTGATCCAAGTCATAATTTAGTTTGTATTAAAGGGTAACTTCATATGTCTCCCCTGACTAGATGTACCTTCACTTTCAAATTTTAATAAAATATTTGTCTCTCGAACCGAGGTATTTACATTAAAAAAAATTTGGTAGATGAGAGATTGTAGATCTCGCATGTCTTACGGATCCGGCTCTAATTGTTGTATAATACACTCAAAGTCATATGGAAACTTAGATTCCATGCTTTAATATAAAAGACTAAACTAAGTCAACAAATGCCAAATGTCAAAACTTCTTAATTTTCTCAAATGTATAGTAATGCCCACCAAATAATATTCCATTATAAAGCAACGAACAACCAAAACATTTAGAAGTATGAGTATTTTTTATGAATAATAATGTTATGGGATCTAAAACATTAATTTAATTTATTTACGTGATCATATGTTAAAGAGTAATATTATTTGAACCTAAAAATCTGATCTAATTTA